CATTTGTATCTGTGTATTCAAAATGGTTAGGATAGATATATAGTTACATTCTCTTAATGAATAGAGGGATTTGTTCTAATAGTGTTTGTAAATAGGATATGATGTCCACATCTTGTACAGCAATTAACCACTAGGAAGAGAGTATGCAATGTGTTAATTATTGAAACTGTCCTACCAATTTGATTTGAAACTGTCTTATTACTCTTTGTTTCTCAATAAAATTATGGAAAAAAATTAAAAAGTAATCTAAAAAATCTATATAACAAAAAAAGATGATAGAAAAAACATAAGCAGAGGTGGTGGAGAAACACAGGGTTAAAACATTTATTTTTTGAATGATGGGCTTCATAGGAGCAATTTAGATCTTGGACTGAATGTTTGTGTCCCCAAACAGGAATAGGACCAAGACATTCAGAGCAGTCTCTCCTTTAGGTGAAGTGTCGCTAGGACTCTCTCTTCCCACCCTCTACCTTACCTTCAAACACTTTCCTTTTTGACTTCCAATTTCTGCTGTTACTCTCTTGCATTTTGTTGGTGAAATGGCTTGGCAAATACCTCAATTGTTTAACTAAAATATTTCCTTCTAGTCAATCTGTATACTTCATCCCCATGCAGTGTCATAGAGAGGTGTGATTCAGTAAGAGTCAACAGCTGAATCTCAGGGGCCAGGACATGAGTGGATGAAGGGTGGATCTTGTGGCAGCCACCTGAGTAGGCGAAAGATGGGGCCAGTTCCAGCCAGCAAGAATCCCGGTGGGGTTCTGTTACCAGGAGGCAGTGTCCCTCCTTCCTTCCCATGGGGGACTGTGTACAACGAGGGACGTGTCATCACAGGAAAATAAATCACTGAGCCCTTTTGGGATTTTTTGATGAAAGACCTATTTGATCAACAGAGACTGGATACCCTCTTGCTCCTAACTTTTGGAAGTTTCCAGGCCCAAGTCTCATTCTTATTCAAATGGATCACTGCCAAATGCCACAGGGAAATTTCCTGAGAAGAGGTAGGTATTGGTGGTAGGGAAGTTAAATATGCAGCAAGGGCTGGGGAGATGGCTCAGTAGGATAAGCGCTTGACTGCCAAACTCAGGGATCTGAGTTCAATCCCCGGTTCCTCAAAAAAAAAAAAAAAAAAAAAAAAATGCAGCAAGCCCAAGCTGCACTATAAAAGCCATTTTCTCTAAGAAATTCTAGCACCTTGGATAGGCCAGAGCCCAGATTTGAGGGCGGAAGTCTCTTTTCACCCATGTTTTCCCAGACCAACGGCTTCACAGCTGTCACCAGGCCCCAGAGCCTGCCCTTGCTCCTCGCAGTGGCCACCCTGCGGGAACTCTTCTCATTAGCTCATCGCCTGGAAAGGTCTCCTCAGAGGCCCCTGCCAGCCCCACTGAGTGAGGCACAAAGCCTTTGGGAAAGGGTTTCTTTGTTGAACACACACACGAAAAAAACCACAGATTCAGGGCATTTTTGGTTTTTGGTACGGTTTATTTTTTTAAACCCACTTGTAGTTTGGGTTCAGCTGGAAAGCAGGACATACCAATGGCGGGAAGGTGTCGGCATGAGCAGGATTCTGCTGCAGCTTTGGTGGGAAGCCCCAGACCCCTGCTCCAGGAGGTAGGTCCTGCTGTCCCGCTCCCCGCTGGCTTGGGTGAGGTGGCTGGCCGCTCCATGCAAGCGTCCTGTGCAGAGGAGAGTCGTCTTCTCTCTGACCCCCATCCTCAAAGCCCAGCCAGAGGTTTCCCAACACAGTGAGTGTCTGGTAGCTGAGGGACACCATGCCACAGCAGGCCCGCACGTCTGCGGGACAAGGAACACTGGCAGCTTCTGATGCCAGATAACGGCCTGGGCCTGGGCTTCCTGGAGGGGCTGTCTGGTGTGGCCCCAGGGGGTTGCTCCGCTTCGCAGCCAAGCCATCTGGGCCCTGGCCTCTGCAGCTGCCCAGGGTGTGGCCAGTGGTACGGTTCCCACAATCCCACCCCTCAGAGAAAATAAAATAAAATAAAATAAAAATTAGAATAAATACCGACTGGGTCAACATTTACATTTACACATGGACAGGATGATGCCCAAACTATAAAGGTTTACAGACTGGTTAAGGAAAGACAAACAGACAGAACTGGGTTTGGGGGTGCACCGTCCCCATAGAGGACGATGGAGCTTCCAGCCACGTCCTAGGGTGCCTGGGAGCCCTTCTGGGACTGCGGCACCAGAGCCCAGGCAAAACCACCAGGACTAGGGGTGGGTGGGAGAATAATGGCAAGGGGGCTGCTTGAGAGGAAGACAGCCCTGAACTCAGCCTGACAGGCACCGGGTGGGGGGTGAAGGGTGGTGGTCGGTGGGAAGGGAGGACACAACACACCAAGAGGGTCAACAGGAGATGCTTGCAGTGCGCCTCGTCCATGCCCCAAGGCCTGCTGCTGAGTGGGGACAACACCTAGAGGGCCTTTCAAAGCACAGGAGGTTCTGGCATGGGGTAGGGGCGGGGATCTGCGGGGCACCCACTTCTGCTCCCTAGTTCCTGTCTGAAAGTCTGCCATGGGAAGTTGCCCCAGACTCTGAAATTTTAGGCTTTGCTGTTTCTTTAAAAAAAAAAAAAATTTTTTTTTTTTTTGAATGTTTTCCTTCCATGTCTGAAAAAGTAGCAGCAACCTGCATTTAGAAAAACAGCCAAAAGTGTTATTCAGATGGGCCAGGAAGTGCTTTCAAGCAGTGGAACAAATTAGGCAAACTGTACGTCTGGAGCCACCGTGACACAACACGTAATTAAAAATATATTTATATATAATACATATTTATACCTCACATCTTCACACTAGTCCTCGAGGCCAAAGAGGGCCTGGCCCTGAGGCCAGACCCCCACAAACAGGCCATCAGGAGAAGCACATCTGACTTTTGGTGCCCACAATGTCCTCTAACTTTCACAGGGGTCACTAGCCCCTCCACAAGAACCTTGAGAGCCCCCTTCTTGGAGCCTGCCTGTGAGCTGAGTATGGGGTCTGGGAGACTCAACTGTCAGACCTCTGTCTTCTGGGGACCCTGCTTTGTTCTTTGCCAATGCACATACACGCTTGTACACCCCCCACACTCCCACACACCCACACACACCACCACCACCACCACCACCACCACCACCACCTCCACCACCTGAGGGAAGAGGGGCCCTTTTGAGCATAGGCGTGGCCCTCGGAGGCTGCAGGGAGCAGCTGCCTGGCCAGGGCTACCTGACTCCAGGAGAGCGTGATTTCCCCAGTGCTCTCTCTGAGCATCCCAACCGACATCAGCCCAACTCTTCCTTCAAGGACTCCTGGGGGTTTCTGGTGTCCCCAAGCTCCAGGCTGGGGCTGAGGGCTGGTGCAGGAGAGAAGCAGTGAGAAACAGCTTGAGAAAGCTTGAGAAGGAGGAGTGGGGGAGGAAGAAGGCAAGGGCCAGAGCCAGCCAGGGGCAGAGTGGGCCTCTTGGCAGAGGCCATTGACCTATTTAAAGGGAAAATGTGCCCTCTCACACCTTGTCCCAAGTAGGCTTTGGGAGGGGGACCTGAACGCCCCCTGGAACTGGAAGGCCAGTTTCAGTGGGGAAAAGCCAGGCAGAATGGAGAACTTTTACCTAGATTTAGAAATGATCAGCAGAAATCTCCCCCCACTTCACCTCCCCGCCAGTCTGATTTGGATCAGGAGGCCATAAGAGGTTTCTGGTGTGACCTAGGATATGACCAACCTCAGTAAAGGACCAAATCAGGAGGCTGCTGGGTTCTGATGGCATTTTCTGGAGGACTCATCAAAACATGGGCTCCATACCTCAGCCATGGATTGTGTGGACTCAGGCTGTGATCCTGATGCCAGCATCCCAGAGCTTGAGCTCACCTTCCTCTCTAGCCATCACAGAAGGTACTGTTCTCTAGGCCAGGGCCTTCCAAAGAAATCCAGCCTTGTTTCCAGCCAGGAAAGCCTACCTGACTGTCCTTCTTGTGACTCAACAATTTCTCTCTTTCCCAACATTGGGAAGGCCTTCTGGATCCTGCCTAGGATAAGGCTTGGGCAGTGACACAGCCCATGATTTAGACAAATCCTGGGCAGCCAGGCAGCTCTCCCTCCATCTTTCTCCTCACTAGGCACTTGGGACAAGCTTTCATTTTGGTTTTAGTTTGCCAACCTTGTTCTGGGCCATTTGCCACAAGACCCCCATGGCCAGGGCCAGGTCTAATACAGCCCAGCACCCGCAGTACCACATCCCTCGAGAGACAGAAACAGGAGAGCAGAGTCACTGCAGGCGGGGAGGGGGTGTGCGAGGTGGGGAGGGGGCACAGGATTCCAGGGGGGACCCCCGCCGTGCCAGAAGTTTCCAATTACCCTAATTGGCTACTGGCAAGCTGTCTATGGCTAGAATCCTTCTAGAGGGGGCCGGGCTGGATCTCCTATTAATCAGGAGGTCCTTGCAGGGCTGACTGTGATCACACAGAGGATATTTTCATTGAGAGAAGAGACTTCAAAGCAACCAACTTTTGAAAAATAAAACACAATAAAAGAAAAGGGTGCAAGCTGAGTTGCAAGCTCCAGCTCCCCTCCCGGCTGCCAGCCCCCTAGGCCTGGGCTGGGGGCCCAAGGCTGGAGGAACTGAGGTTGGGAGGGTGGGGTGTGAAGGTTAGAGAAAAGCGCCTCTCCCTAGCTCCACTGTGGCTGACAAAGGCAGTCAATTACTGGCGGCTGGTGGGGACCGTGCCTGCCTTTGTCCTCCCGGACATCTGCTACATGTTGCCTGCTGCCAGTTGGCGACTGCGGCTGACAGCACGAAAGGAACAATGGGAGCCCGTCTCGACCCACTTTTTCAGCCTTCTGAGATCCTTTCTGACCTAAGCAGTGCCCCGATGTGGGAGGCTGGTGTTTGGGGGGGGGTGGGGTGGTCTGAGGAGTGGCAGAGAGATCTCTGCTTGAGGTGTATGGGTTGGATGGCAGGGGCAGATAGGGGTGGGAATGAGGGAGGTCGCAGGCCAGGGCCACCATGGAAAAGAAACATGCTTCCCTTATTGGTGGGAGCTGCCACATGCTTGGGCTGGGGTGGGGGTGTTTATGTGTAAGGTGGGGTGCCCTTCTCAGGGATTTGATCCCTTTCCTGGCTGGCTCCAGACTGGCCACTGACTCTGCTTGCCTTCCTGCCCATTTCTTTCTCCCACCAGGGCCACCCCTGTCCTCCCGCCTGTCCATCTGGCTCTGCGCACCAGGGCCCCAGCTGCCTGCGGGCTTCCCGCCAGGCCCCCTGGCTGTCAGGCTGTCAGTTTCTGGATGGTTCTGTTGTAGTACTGCGTGATAGGGGGCGTCAGAGGGTTCCAGCTGTTGGCATGGAGCTCGATGACCTCCAGGAGCAGCGACCGGGTCAGCATGGACTCAGAGGGGCACAGCATCTTGTCTCGAGCACTGGCCAGGAGCTCCATCATCATCTCGGGCAGCTGCTCTTCCAGCAGTCGCCCTGTGCTCTGTAGCTGCAGGCAGAGAGGTGGCTGATTAGGACAAGACCTGGGGGCTACAGTGTTACCTGACCACGGTCATTAGGTGAACTGGGGACAGGGATTGTGCTAATGACATGCAGGCCTCAGCTGGGAGAATCGCCTGTGTAGTCGCACACTGAATACCATCTATAAGCAGGAATGAGAGGAATCCAAATACTGTCTGCTGCCCAAAGAGCCCTCCCCAGGAACACATCCTTTGTCCATTTCACCCAAGAACCTCCCCTCCTACAGGGAGCCTGCCCGGACTACACTCACTCCCTCAAGCAGCCCCTGTGATACACTCCCTTGGGCAGTCAGGTGGCTCTGTGTTAGTCTCTCCTCGAGGGGGTCTCCCTAGATCGAGCTTAGTCATTACTAACTTCGTGGGCCTGCATGAGGTGGAAGCTGAGAGCAGGGCCGAGGTTGCCCATGTCTCTCTCCCCTTCTCTTCAGCCTGTAAAAGAACCTCTGGGGGCTGGAGAGATGGCTCAGTGGTCTAAAGCACCTACTTGAAACAAGCTTGGCAAAGCACATGGACCTCGGTTCATCCCCAGCACCACATGCCAGCCAGCCCCGCCCCCTGGTGGGCTGAGCTGGCCACACACACACACAATAAATAAATGTAATAAATAAAAATAAATAAATAATTAAAAAAAAAATAAAAGAACCTCTGCCCTTGCTTGTGCTGAGGGAAGGAGGGTAATAAGAACTGGGGCAGAGGGCCAGCCACATGACCTTTTTTTTTTTTTTTAAATAATTTTATTGAGAAACAAATAGCAATGAGACAGTTTCAAAACTGATTACTAGCAGTTTCAATAATTAATACATTGAATATTGTTGTCTTAATAGTTATTCATTGTACAAAATGCAGACATGATATCCTGTCCACAAACACTATTAGAATAAATGTCTCTATTCATTGAATTAAGAGAATGCAGTTGTATATCTATCCTATTTTGAATATACAGATACAAAATGGTCGTTCATTTGTATCCCCTTTTTTGTTTAGTTTTGTCACAGAAGGGTATTCTATTGTCATTTAAATATTGTAGATGCATAAATTCAGCAAAATATTCCAATATAGTCCAGTAGTCCATAACAGTAGTGGGTTTTCCCTAGGACTGGAAATGTCAGAACTTGTTGACTTGAGCCTTTTACAGCTCAGCCTATTTATTAATACAGCTTTACTTTTTATATTTCATTTTTACACTTTTTTGCTGGATTGTTAAGACCAAGATAAAGCAAGATTTATATAACAAGAAATGCAACTTTTGTATCTGATAAGGTCAGTCAAATCCCCTCAGGATTTATCCTGAAACCCTGTATCGCAGTTTGTAGATCCTTTGTCAGTGTCAGCCATGTGGATGAGTCATGGCCATTGCTTGGCCAATGTGCTCTCTCTGTGAAGGCCTGAGAGAATATTTTCTCTCCATGTGACTCTCCTTAGGCACACTCTACATCATTGATCACTTTCCTTTGTGGCCCCATAATCTCCTTGGTCAGAAAATTTGGGACACAACTGAGTTACATCATGTTACAGTACAGGTTCTCCTATGTCCTGAGTCTTCACTGACCTTGAAAGGTTAGGGCCAAAATGTTGGCTGTCCTTGCAGCCCTTCTTTCTCTCTAATTTTTGGTCTTCAAACTTACAGCCGCATGATCTTGAGGGACCCCAGAATCTTGAAAAACTCCTTGAAAAGAAGCTCCAATTTTTCTGGACCACTGGCCAGCAGCTCCCTTGGTCCTATGTGTTGTCCTACCTCTCCTTGTCCTCCCAACCAATGATCCAATCTGCCTTCTACACAGAGCTGTCCTTGACCTCCTAGCCCCCCCCCCCGACTGCATGAGGAGCTGTGCTCTGTGTGGACACAAGCTCCATGCAGCCCTGCACCCCACATGTGTGTGGGACCTGTCCTCACCAGCCTGAAAGCTGTCTGAAGGGAGGGCCCACGCCCTCTCCCCTTCCAGCCCTTATCTCCTCAAGCACCATGTTGTGTTGCTAGAGCTCAACAAGTGAAACAAATGACCAGGGCACAGGCCTGAGGCTTCTCTCCAGGCTCCTGTTCTCTGAGCTCCTCCCTTGTAGCTTGGACACAGCCACCTATACAGCATGCTCATTAGTGCTACCAGGCTGAGGCCCCCAGCTGGGTGTTCCCTCCTCCCTTCACTCCATTCGAGTGACTCTGAATTGTTTGCAAAGGGCAAAGATATGCTCCAGGGACCAGCCAGAGCCAGGCTGTAACACAGGATCGCAGAGTGAGCAGTGAGCAGTGGCCATCCCTGGGGAATGGAGGCAGCAACTCCTAAGGTGGCCGTCACCATCAGTACTTACCAGGTTTAGGGTAGGCGGCTCTGCATGCAGCATTCCATGCCCCCTCAAGAAGCCACTCTCTGCCAGCCTCATTCAACAAACACTCCTCCTGGGTCAGTAACCCCGGTGCCCTCACCTGGGAGGTGCGAGGGATGTATGGGTCAGAACTGCACTGCTTACCTCCATAGAGCAGCAAAGGACAGCATCTTCCTTCACATCCTGAGACTGCAGGAGCTGTGAAGAAGAGGGTGGAGAGGAAATCAGTTAGGGTGGCCAGGCTGCCTGCCCCCCTCTGGTCACTCCAGATCTAGTCCTGATGTTTGTCCTGTGACAAACACCTCTGAGGGACAGGCTGGAGTGAGAGCTCATGCTGACCAGAAGGCAGAATGGAAAGTGCATCCGGAAGGGGTGACTTTTCTGCTGGCTTTGGGCAGGCAGAGGACACTGTGCAGTACTGAGTCCTGGCTGGCTCAGAACGATGCAAGTAGAAGCCCTCGTAGAGAAGGGCTGCGGGGGTCTGAGGGTGGCAGCGAGTGTGCCGAGTACAGTGAGTTTAAGGATGTCCGCGTGCTGACTGTGTGTGAAAAAACTTTGCTACTGGGCCAGCCTCTGGGCCCAGCCATGGGAGCATGTCCAGCAAGCAAGCATTCATCTCTACTGGCCCAGTATTGCCATCTTTCAAGACCAAGGCAGTAAGTTTGTGGATTTAACCAGAGACCACGGTGCTTCCCCAGCCAGACTCCTTGGTACTTGGCCTGGCCACACTCCCAACAAGGGATCCCACTACCTGCCTGGCACATTCTGTTTCTTTTTAAACTGAAATACAATTCATAAAACTGAGCTATCATAACATAAACTTCATCTTTTTTAAAATGTATAATTCATTGGGTTTTATGGTACGCAGAGTCAGGCAGTCATTACCACCAACGAATTCCAGGACATCTTCATCACCTTTAGAAGATCCATACCACTAGCAGCTGCTCCCCATTCCTTACTCACGCCAGCCCCTGGTAACACCTAAAGACAGGAAGGATCCTGCACCTGTGGATTTTCCTACGTCAGAAGCAACGTATGAATGGGATCAGTCAGTATGCGGTCTTTTGTGGTTAGCTGTTTTCATGTAATGTTTGCAGAGATCCTCCGTGGTGCAGCATGTACCGCATTTCCGACTCAGGGCTTCTGTGCTCTGCCCCAGGAGTTCTCAGCCGCTCCTAGCTGCAGACCTCACCTCAGCTGTTCAGAGCTCTGGCTGAGCACGCCTCACCAGAGAGGCTGTCCTGAGCAGCCTGTGCAGACCTGACCCCCGGCACTCTCTCCCAACACACTACCTGCTTGCCTGTTGTCAGTCTCTCTGCAGAAAAGGGAAGTTTCTCGAGGGCAGGGCTTGTTTGGTGGAGTGCTATCCCCAGGGCTGAGTGTACTACCTGGTGCCTAGAAAGCCCTTGGAGAGTATTTGCTAACAATGTTCTTGTATGTGGAGATATAACACAGTAAATTGGCACAACTCAGCTGGGTGTGTTGGCATAGACCTGCAATCCCAGCCCTAGGGGATGCTGAGGCAGGAGGACTGCAAGCTCAGGCTCAGCCTGCACAATTTAGCAACTTGGCTGACCCTGTCTTAAAATTAGACATAAAAAAGGGGTAAGGATATAGCCCAGCAGGAAGGCCCTGGATTCAACCTCCAGTACTAGGGCAGGGAAACAACTCTACAGATGGCAACTTGGTGCTAAGTATCAACATGGCAAGGATATACATCCTCTGACCTAGCAGTTCTTACTTCTAGAAGTTTCTCCTGCCCACATACCCATACACATGCCATACAACACAGGCACTATTGTTAGAATAAAAGACAGAAAGAACTTTGCACATCCACCTGACACGTCTGTGCAGTGGACCCAGCTGTAGCACACAGCTGTACCCCACACACATGCGCCTTCTTCTGGAGTTTTCCTGTCTCTGGTTCCAGGACTACAGATCCTTAAGGAGAGCCAGAGGAAGCTTTCTATCTACCAAGCCAGCACACCTAGGGCCCATATAGGGAAGGGTCTTTCATCTGGAGGATTCAGAAAACCAGAGAAGGGACCAGAAGGCAGGCTGTGGAAACACTTGGGGAAGGGCTCACCCTGCAGCAGACTTCCTGAGTCACCTGGGCCAGCATCCAAACCAGCTTACTCTGACAGGGGCAGGTCCCAGGGATGCCAGGGTTCTGTGATTGTCCGTATGGAGTCGGAGGGAAAGGTAGACTTGACCCCACCTTTCTACAGGGAAGATGGGGACACAAGGAGAGCTCGGTGCCACCTTCTGGAGCTTCCTGCCATGATAAATTTCTCTCAGATGTTTCCCTGGTGCTTAGAAGGAAAAAAAAAAATCCTTAAAAGTTGCTAGTGGATATCACAAAGAAGGGGGAAGGTTTTGGATCTGGGGGAGTAACTCCTGAGACAGAGTGGGCAGTGCTGGCTGGGTGGGGAAGATAGGAATGTGAGAGCTGGTGGGAAAGTGGAGAGGTGGGCTCAGGCTGCATCCGGGTACTGGCTGGCACGTGGTGGCCTCTGGCTGGCACACAGTGGCTGCTCAATCCAGGTTTCTCATGGCAGATCAGATGCTTCTGGGCCCTGTTCTATCCTTTGAACAGCTTCATAGGGCCCCTAGAGCCTCCCCCAGGAGCTGGCAAGTTCTGAGGTTGAGGGACAAGTGAGGTAACATAATGGGAAATTTTCGAAGAGCCTGGTCTGACACGTAACTGCTGCTGCGAAACGTGGCTGTCTGTGCCCTTGGACAGTGGGCCTACAGACCTGGTTGACACTACAGGGAGAACCTTGCAAAGCCTCCTGGTGTTGTCAGCAGAACACACTGTCCTGTGCGCCAGGCTTGCCTCCCTCCTTGATTGGCTACACCCCAGACCTCCTCCTGCCCTCAGCTCCCCTGTGCCATAAGACCAGGGCTTCTCTGCAGGCTGCATTCTTCCTCTTTTTCCTTTTGTCTTCCCCATTTGGGACCGCACCATGTGCCCTCTCTAGGCCCTCACTCTCCACAGCCATGCTCCTGGGGGCCACTGCCTCTATTTCCTCTTTGGCAGAGCCAGAGCCCCTGACTACCATGGTAGGAGATAAATTGACTAGGACTCTCCCTCCAGCAGGGCTCTGGGCCGGTTCTCTCCTCCAACCTTATCTCTTGCTTGGTTGTTTAGGAAAGTCTGTGCACAGCCAAAAATCACATTGTGCGGCCAGCCCCCTGCACACGGCTTGCTAAGCTTTCTCAAGGAAGCCACAGAAGGCTGAGAGCTTTGCATTTTCCTTTTCCTTTAAAGTTGCTGGAATGTAGAGTATGTGAAAGGATTGGTGGCCACCGACAATGTCCTGTCCTCCCCACAAATACAGACTTGGCACCTCCACACCAGCTTTTGTGAGTGGATGCCCCAATGGACTTGCTCTTTGTGGACATCACCCTAAGTGTAGAACCCTGGCCCCAAATTCCTGTTCTGTGTCTCACATCTTCAGTGCTATCTTCCTATAGGACAGATAGTTTTGAGATAAGTGCTACAACCTTTAGGAGGCCAAGTAGCTCTCTCGTTTACCAATGTTCTGCTTGGGATCTTCAGACGATAACTGCATTTTCTCACTCAAAGATGAATCTCAAAAAGTAGTAGCTACTTGAATGGAGATAGTACTTGTGTACTTACAGCTGTGTAATGGACAACAGCCCAAAGGCAGAGCAACTCAAGCAACCACCAGTGGGAGAACGGATAAACAAGTGGCCCATGTGTACTGTGAAGTGTCACACAGCCTTAGCAAGGAAGGCAGCTGTGACACAGGTGGCCACAGGAACGAACCTTCAAAAAGTTAGTCATACAAAGACAAATCCTATAGGAATCCACTTATGTGAGGAACTTAAGAGTGAGTAGTCACATTCACAGACAGAAAGCACATGGGGCTTGCCAGGGGTTGGGGCGGCGGATGGGGAGTTAGTGTTCCAACTGGAGAAGATGAAGACTTCTGGGGCTGGATGGCAGGGATGGCTGCTCAACAGCATGAGGGGATGTAATGCCACAGAAATGTACACTGAAACATTGCTCAAAGGATAAATTTTATGTTCTGTGTATTTTCTCATAATTAAAAAAATAATAACAAAACCAGTTAGGAAGGCAATGGCCAGAGCAGGTACCCTCTGGGACACAGAATCATCCCTCTCCCACACCACAGATGGGGGATGGAGTCTGGCCACCCTGCTGGCTGAAGGCCTGGCTGGGGGAGTGGTGGCCCCTGATCAGAGTCTCTGGCACAGAGAGGGCCGTGGGCGGGCTGGGGCAGGCAAGCCACCCGCGCCCTCGCACGGTGAGATGTGTTTCTTGGATGAGAATCCAAGGCAATTGTGCGAGCCCACACAGTGTTCGGAAGCGAATACATTCCTGGCCTATTGTCTCTGCCGGAGACTTGTTGTGGGCACACCCATCATATCCTCCCTGGGGAGAAGCCAAGGTGCTCAACTCCACAGCAACTAGGGAGAAAGAGCATCCCGGAGTCCCCGGGGAAGGGCCACGGGGCGCGGGCATGCTGCCCAAGGCGTGCCCAGGATGGAACCGGGCTGGCTGTTGGGATGCCACCCGGCAGGAGGGAAGAGGTTGGTGATGAAGATCCTGTGGGGCTGCCTTACTGTGCAGGCGCGGTGAGGGCAGAAATCACAACTGCTTGCCGCTGTGGTGAAGGGTGTCAGCAAGAGGTCCACAGGCCAGCCCTTTCGGACTATCCACGTCCCCAGACAGCACATTCCGCAGCTTTAGTAGAACAGACCCCAGGCTGCCCAACGCAGCCATAGAAAAAGCTCAGCTTGGGGCCCGCTTGCTTCAGGAGCCTCCCACCTTTGGAGGGGGTGGGTGGAGTGGGCTAGAGAACAGCAGTGAGGGAGCAGGAGTGGGAAGTTTGCAGAGTGTCTGTGATTGGCTGCTTTTCTGGAGAACAAGGCCCACCAGAACACTCTGATTGGCTGGCTGGATGGAAGGAAAGTTCAGGGATTGACAGGATAAGCTGAAAATGTAGGAGACGTCCCAGTGTAGAAGAGAGGGAGGAAAAAAAGAGCCAAGAGTGGGAGGTGGAGGCAGCCACAGTGTTGGGTGCATTGTGGGTGAGAAGGGGTGAGGGAGAAGAATAGGCAGGACCAGAAGAGGCAGCCCCAGTGCATGGCACAGGGTGCAGAGCGGTGGCGGTGGTGAGGCCCACAGATGGCCACCTGCATCTCGG